GGCTGGCCTTCTTCTCTGTCGGTTCGTTTTGCGGGACCTGGGGATGGCTTTATCCTGTGCTTTTGAGAGTTCCTCCTTGAAGTATGACCAGCCTTCCCGGGCATCTTTGCCCTTCAGGACTGCTTCCCAAGGGATACTCTCAACTTATCCTGTGCTTTTGAGAGTTCCTCCTTGAAGTATGACCAGCCTTCCCGGGCATCTTTGCCCTTCAGGACTGCTTCCCAAGGGATACTCTCAACCATTCTCCTAAACAGGCCCAAGTCTGCCCTTTGGAAGTCCAAGGTGGCCATTCTGCTGGCTCTCTGACTTGTTTCTGCAAGAATTGAAATCTCTATGTTCTCGTGATCACTCTGCCCGAGATGACCTTCAACCTTTCCATCCCCCACGAGACTTTCTCTGTTAACAAGAAGCAGGTCTAGTAGGGTGCTTTCCCTGGATGGTTTGCTCACCAGCTGTGTTAGGAAGCTGTCTTCCACACACTCTAGGAACCTCCAGGACTGTTCCCTCTCTGCTGTGTTGTATTTCCAGCAGATGTCTGGGAAGTTGAAGTCCCCCACAAGGACAAGGGCGAGTGATTGTGAGAGCTCTACCAGTTGCTGACAGAATATTTCATCAGCTACTGCATCCTGTTTTGGGGGTCTGTAATAAACTCCCACCATGATATTTACCTTATTGGCCTTCCCCTTGATTCTAACCACTCTACCTTGTCACTTCCATTATTAAGTTATATGCATTCAAATGTGTTTGTAACATAGAGGGCCACCCCACCACCTCTCCTTCCTTGTCCATCCCTTCTGAAGAGTTGGTAGCCATCAATAACAGCACTCCAGTTGTGTAGGCCTCCTGACCATGCTTAGGTCCTTCTGTGTTTGATGACTTATTACCATCCCCCATTTCAGAGACATTATCATCATCTGAGATATTATCAGCATCTCTCGCCTCAAGTGAAATGGCAGGCTGGAGGCTGTCCTTAGCCTCATCTCTAGTGCCCCCTCCCCCCCTCATATCTAGTTTAAAGACCTGTCAATGAGCCCAGATAACTCCTGACCCAAATTTTTTTTCCCCTTCTGGGACAGTTGTATCCACTGGTAGGCCAGGTGTCTGGTGTAGCCGCCTATGCTCAAAAACCCCAAAGCCCTGCCGATAACACCAATCACGGAGCCACAAGTTGATCTGCTGCCTCTTCCTGTCAATTTCCTTATTCACGGTTGCCACTGGAGGGACAGAGGAGAACACAACCTGCGTTCCTGTTCCCTTGAGTAGCCGTCCCAAGGCTCTGAAGTCTCTTTTAATTGATTTTGGCCTCCTCCTACCCATTTCATCACTATCCACCTGAAATACTAACAGAGGGTAATAATCTTTGTCCCATAGTGGGTGCAGTGGGAGCCTTGGTGTCCCGTACTGGGAGCACTGGTTTCCCATACTGGGACACTGGTGCCCCACACTGGGAGCACTGTTGTCCCATACTGGAAGCACTGGGAGCCCTTCTGCCCCGTACTGGGAGCACTGGTATCCCATACTGGGACACTGGTGCCCCACACTGGGAGCACTGGGATCCTTTTTGCCCCATACTGGGAGCACTGCTGTCTCGTCCTGGGAGTGCAGGGAGCCTTTCTGCTACAGTTGCTGACAGAATATTTCATCAGCTACTGCATCCTGTTTTGGGGGTCTGTAATAAACTCCCACCATGATATTTACCTTATTGGCCTTCCCCTTGATTCTAACCACTCTACCTTGTCACTTCCATTATTAAGTTATATGCATTCAAATGTGTTTGTGCCCCAAAAACACAGCATGTGAGAGTCCAGCACCACACACCATCTTGCCTGTTCTGAGAGACTGTTCTAACAGGTGGAGCCCAAAGTCATGGATCAAATGAACTCAACGGACATTTTAGAGTGATGGCCCATAGGCTAAAGACATTATATCTGTATGGAGATACACCCTCCTGACCATGCTTAGGTCCTTCTGTGTTTGATGACTTATTACCAATACATGTACATACATATATATATGTCAGGGGAAAAGTGACAGCATTTATCTGGAAACTGTAAGAACTGGGCATGTCATAGATGGTATGGAATAAAACATGGATAATTTTCTGGTTCTGGTGGTAATAAGGTTAATGGTCCCCAGGATCTAGCAGGGACACAGCTATTCCAACCCATATGAGACATGGCCAGGGGGAGCTGGGAGCTGGCCAGGGAAGGGGGAGGACAGGAAGTCGGTTGTTGGTGCGGGTGCAGTTGGTGAGCGGTGGTATCGTAATCGTGTTTGTATATTCCTCTCTCGGTGTTACTGTTAGAGTTTTCTTGTTCCCTTTGCTGTTCTGTTAAACTGCCTTTGTCCCAACCCACGAGTTTTGCCTTTTTCTTCCGATTCTCCCCTCAAGGCTGTGGGGGGAGGCTTGAGAGAGCGTGGCTGCCTCTCGGTTCTTTGTTGTCGTCTGAGGCTCAACCACGACAATTGGTAACCTGTTGGAATGGTTCAAAAAGCTCTGGCTGATTGAGTAACGGGAGAAGTCAGGCCTGCGCTGGCACTCGTCCAAGGCATCTCTGCTGGCAGGAGGTATCTGTGTCCCTGTAGCTGAAGGTATTTGGAAAAAAAAAAAAAAAAAAGAAGAGCAAGAACACAATTTCCCCCCATAGTAAAGCAAAAGAAAAAATAAAAATCCAGAAATAACTTTAAAAGCTTGTCTCTCTCTTCCCCACAATGTCCTCCTAGGTACTGGCAGGCTGCAATGAGATCCCTCTCAGCCTTCCTTTCTCCAGGCTGGACTAGTTCAACTGCCTCAGCCTCTCCTCATGGGAAAGGTGCTCCAGTCCCTGACCATCTTGCTGGTCCTTTGCTTCAAGAAAATTCACTCAAGTCCTGAACCTGGCAGGAGGATGGAGATGAACAAACAGGAAAATCCACCCATAAACTTGGGGTGTGCTGCCAGATCTGGACATGGCCAGTGAGAAAGGCTGGGGGATACAAATGCCCTGGGTCACCTTCCTCAGTGTCCATGCCACCAAAGGAACAGGCCAGCCTCCTGTTTCCTGTGTCGGCAAGTCTCAGATGCCTTCTACAAGCCCTGGCTCTGCAACACCAAACCCCTGGTGTGAGTCCTCACCCTGCATGGGCAGAGAGCTCATCTAACTTTCGTGTGTTCCTCTTCCAAGCACTTTCAAGCCCATCTCAGTCTATCTCTGGCTCTCCCTCTTGCTTCCTGCCCCTCTACCCCATTTTTCCCCTGCCCAGCCCAGAAAAGCAGCCTATTCTGGGCTGACCCCATGGCAGTGCCCACTGATGGGTTCTGCAAAGCTCTGCAGACTCAACCCCACAGCCTCAGCCCCACATTGGCCCCAGGGCTGAGGGCCAAACATGGCATGAGGTGGCAGAGACCAGTGTCTCCCCGTGTCCCCTGCTCCTGTCTCCAAGACATCCTGACCACTGACAACAAAAACCTCTGTGTCAGCCCCTCTTCCAAGAAAAGAATCCAGGCCTGGGATCTCCTCATGCTGCTCCATCACTAGAGAAGCCTGCCCTGAGCTGTTATGCAGAGATTGCTTTATGCTGCCTTTGTCCCAGGGTATGGCTCCACCAGTCAATTTCGTTTTCGCATTCTCTAATACATCTTAACCTTTCCACCTCTTCCCGCAGTTCCACCACCTGCCTGAGCAGGTCATTTATCTGTTCACATCGCACGCAACAATTGTCCCTGGGTCCCTGTGGCACTGCAGCTAGGCTCATGCATTCGGTGCAGCTAGAGCCCTGAACGGCTGCGTCTTTGCGAGGGACCTCGGTCTGAGTTCCCACATTTTTCCTCCCAGGGCCTTTGGAGCGTTTGGTTGCCATTTCCTCTCTGGAGACTGAGCGGACCAATCACCCTCAGACTCTCCCTTTTTGTCCCGCGCACCAGTCCCCGCTCCGCCCCCTCCCTCTGCCGCTCTCCGCGCTCTGTCCAACACCTGAGGGCCGCTTCTCCCACACTCTGCGCACGTGCGCCTGAGCGCTAATGTACCCGCCTTTCTACTTACACGCGCCCGGCCCGCGCTCGGACCCTGTTTCAGCTAGCCGCTTTTAAACTTGCCGCGGCTCGCCCGGCCCGCCCCCAGCT